GAGCTAATTCAGTGACTTCCTTACCGCGGCCATTTTCTTCCTCTCGAAGACTATTAATTATCTTGCTCATCAGCCATTCCATGCCCACAAATGTCTGGAACAAGTTATTCTTTAAAAGCCACCTGCACCAACGTGAGAGAAAGAACCACTGACCACATGTCAGGAGGTGAGGCTTCCAGTCCTGGCATCACTTCCAAGTAGATCATGATCATGGATAGGTCACACACTCTTCCTGGGCCACTGCCTGCTCACTCGGCAGATTAAAATCATCACCATCATCATCACCATCACTATCATTATCATCACCACTAGCACCATCATCATCATCGCCACCATCACCATCATCATCACCACCATCATCACCATCATCACCGCCACCACCATCATCATCACCATCATCATCACCACCATCATCACCACCACCATCATCATCACCATCACCACCACCATCATCATCATTACCACCATCATCATCACCATCATCACCACCACCATCATCATCGTCATCACCATCATCATCACCATCATCACCACCATCACCACCATCATCATCATCATCACCACCATCACCATCATCATCACCATCATCACCGCCACCACCATCATCATCACCATCATCATCACCATCATCACCACCACCATCATCATCACCATCATCACCACCATCATCATCATCGCCACCACCACCATCATCATCGCCACCACCACCATCATCATCATCATCGTCATCATCATCTTCAAGCATCTTATGTGTTAAGACAGGAGCTACAGTAGAGGACAGGCAGACATGGACCTGCACATGGAGCTTGCAATCCAGAGGCTCTTCATGTGATGGAAGCCTCTGTACGTTTCAGACACCCTCCTTTAAGTAGAACCTCCTTTTTCACACCAAAGAAAATTTTAGCTTAGGATGGAGGGCAGCTATCCTCTGATTGGAGTGAGGGAGGAAGGTTTGGGGCCAACCATCCCTCCTAGGTCCCTCTCCCTGACCTGTTGGTAGCCCCTGTGAGGTCTCCCAGAACTCAAGGGCTCCCTGGACCATGGTGCACAAGCTTAAGTATCTGCCAGGACCAATAATCCATGACTTGTAGAAGGTCAAGCTGGTCATGATTTCTGCCCATCTGGTTTAATGCTTCTCAGGAGCAGACCAAACAAAACTCCTTGTGCTTCTGCCTGGAAGCCTTTCCCCACTCCTCCCCCTAAATCTTCACTCCAGACCACTGCAGAATAAAGGTGTCAGGTGCTTTCAGCTTGCTCTCATACCATAGTGTATGATGTGGTTTCCAAAAGCCCTTCTTTGTTTAAAGATTTTGTTGGGGAATTGGTGAAGGGAACAGTGTTGGGGAATTGAGGAAGGGGAACATTGTGTTTTTCCAGGACCCATCAGCTCCAAGTCAAGTCATTGTCCTTCAATCTTAGTTGTGGAGGGCGCAGCTCAGCTCCAAGTCCAGTCGCCACTTTCAATCTAGTTGCAGGAAGTGTGTGTGTGTGTGTGGGGGGGGTGCGGCACAGCCCACCATCCCATGAGGGAGTCGAACCGGCAACCTTGTTAAGAGCATGTGCTTTCACCAGCTGAGCCATCTGGCCACCCATTGGCAGCTCAGCAGTGGCTCAGCTCAGGCGCAGCTCACTGGCCCACGTGGGAATCAAACCGGCAACCCTGTTGCTCAGAGCTCGCACTCTAACCAACTGAGCCACCCGGCCGGCCCTCCAGAAGCCCTTCTTAACCCAGCCTCTTTATTTTAAACATTTTGGTGAGACCTTCCCAAACGGCAGGCAGTGGGTGACCCTGGCTGGACACCACCCTTGGTCTGGATGGTATTTAATCTCGGGTGGACAAATAGAATGCGTGGCAAGCCTTGACCTCCATTTCAGAGGTTCTGTGCAAATTCAGTGATACAGGTTCAGAGGCAGATGCAACCAGTGCACAGACGCTATAAAAAGGTGAGATTCTTTTCAGTAAGGATCCCTACTGGTATCTTTTTATTTCTTCTTGTGGCTGGTTCTTTTCCAGAGCCACAGGCTTAGGAGGGGCTAAGGATGATTGCTGAGAATCATGTTCTTCCAAGATTTGCCACCATTTTCTTCCCACATGGTGATAAAAGGTGTAACCATCATTGATAGAGCAGTGATGGGTCACACCTGCTGCCTCCTTGCTTGCCGTGTAAATTATTGGCCTGGAAAACACAGTTCTTCCTGTGAAGGCAGAAACCAGCACTGAGATGAGCTATTGTAATAGAGTCTGGAAGGAACCAGAAGGCACACCCCAAATGAGGAAGCTGAATAAAGGAACTATTGACAAAGATATGGGGGTGTGTAGAGAAAATGGTACACGAGAGATGGCACAGCACCCTGGGACTAGCAACTCCTGGGAGCAATAATCTCTGCTGGGCCAGAAGGGGTGAGGAAAGAGTGCAATTGCTGGGAAAGAGAGAGAGAGAGAGAGAGAGAGAGAGAGAGAGAGAGAGAGAGAAAACAAGCTGCCTGGCAGGAGGAACTCTGCCTTTGGTTGATGGATGGAGGAAGTGACCAGGTCTTCCAAAGAAGGAATTCTCCAGATTCCAGCAGAGAATAAAGAGGTCCCAGCCTGAAGAGTCAGGATTCCAAGGTCTTAGGTGTCTGAAGTTCGTGGTTTGGTGTTCTGTACTTGCACTCTGGTTATGAGCATAAGCTTAAGAGTTCTTACAGACCGGGGAGTCAAAGTTATGTGACCTTAGAGAAGGGTGTCGGGCTCCTCATCTCTAGAGACAGGCAGGGCGGTTAGATGAGATGCTGTGTAAAACATATTTGTTAAGTGAAGGGACGTTCCCTAAATGGTAGCTACTATTGTAATTAGTTTTGGAGTTTCCCAGAATGCCTTGGGAAGCTGACCACCTGCCTTCCTGTCTGATTTGCTAGCACCCACAAAGAACATGCTTGTTGACAATAATGATGCTGTTAACACTCGCAGTACTAGGTGTATTAAAACAAGAGTGGCGGTCAGGGTTGCTACCTTTTAATTAGCACAATCTGTTTGCCAAGAACCACACTGAGCTCTTTCAAGGGTTTTCTCCCTTCATCTGCACCACAGCTCTGGAGGCAGAACCCCATTATTAGTCACATTTTACAGAGGATCCCAGGAGGCACAGAGAAGGCAAATGACTTGCCTAAGATCACACAGCAGCCAAGCTTGGAAGTGGGACTCAAACCCAAGTTTGTCTAATGTCAAAGACAGGGTTCTTCCCTAGCTCCTGGCACCACAAGGGTAACACTCTTTCTTGTTCCTCTTTCTAGTGTCCAGACGGCTGTGGATTGTAGCAGTGGTAGAAGAAAAGAGATGTAAGTTTACCCTGTGTAGAACTGTACAGCTTACACTGAAGCCGGGGGCAAACCCCGGGCTCTTTGTGTCCAGTCAGCAGAGGGAACGTCCACGCCCACTTGGAGAATTATCAACAGTGTCCATGACAGCTCTGACTCCATGGTATTAACGCATAGCCCTGCGGACATATTATTGAACTGTCCGACTTCTTTTAGACAGAGAGATGCCCAGGGCTTATTATGCCACTGTCCTCCTCATATACCTCCAATGGTTCCCCGTTGCCTCAGAATAGACTTTTAGACTGACACGTGAGCTATGCGTGTTCCGACCCTTCCTTCCATCTCTACCTGGGACTCCTACTTCCCACATCATCCATGCTCTGCGCTTCTACCACCTCCATACCGATGTGTATGTCATTCCTTCCAATTAAATTTCTTTCTCCAGGCCCTGCTTGGCCAAACCCTAACAAGATACATCAAACAAGATGTATCTCAACTGTAACTACTTGATGCTTTATCTTATGCCTCCAAGAAGCAAATCAAGACTCCTATTTATTCTCCTTAGAACCTACCCTCTGTCCCTCTCTATGGCATTAATAATTTTCTCCTTTATTTTATGATTATTTACATAGATGTCTGCTAAGATGGGGTGTTAAAGACAGGGTCAATGTTGGGTTCATGTTTATAGTTACTTCCCATGGTGCCTGGCATAGAGTATTCTATAAACAAACAAATATATATATATATATATATATATATATATATATATATATATATATATATATATATATATTTGTGAGTATATCAACCAGAAAATAAAATACTCATTGAGTGCCTGCATTAATGAGAGAACCACATAGGCCTCTCCCTGTGCTGCTTTCATAATTAGGGGGTATAATAAATAGTAAATTCTCTGTCCACAAAGATGTTCCGGTTAAGGCAGGCAAGGAATTAAGGACTTCACACTTGACATATTCCACGAACATATCATTTACTATAAAATTCAAAGCCAAATTTTACTCCAAAATTGGAGATGACTCAACATTTATATTAGAGTGTTTATCTTCTCAAGGAAGAGCAGTGGTTGGTAGAATGGACATTGGAATCAGAGGGATCAGGGTTTGCATCTTAACTTCATCACTGACTAGCTGGTGACCTTGGTCAAGACCCAAGCTGGCCTCCGCAAATCCATTGTCTCATCTATATAATGGGGACAGCACCAGCTCCCAACTCTCAGGGATGGTGTTATGAGCATTGATTGAGGTTATGCACTTACATACAGCCTTTAGCACAATGCCTGGCTTATGCTAAGGGGCGACTATCTAGTTATTGCTGTTACCGTGGTTGTCATTGTGATGACAGTATCCTGCATTCTGCTTCTAGAGATAACATCTCCGTCCTCAGCTCCCAGCCAGGGGGCAGCCTACAGTCCTGGTTGAGTTGTACTCTCTCCCTGGCCACAGACACCATGAGGACCCCCTCTCGACAGTCAGCCATCATCAGCCACATTGTCAGGCCCAGGTAAGAGTATCTCCATATTGCCTCTGGATGGCCAGTATCTCAAAGAATCTCAGACTTTGAAGGTTGTTGTTCAAGTCTCCCAATTCCTCTGGCCTAGGCAAGGGCAAGTATGTTCCGGACAATTTGAAATATGTCCCTACTGCTGCCTAGCTGTATGACTTCAGGCAGGTCAGCTACCTTCCCTGAGCCTTCACTTTCTCATCTGCAAAATAAGAAATATAATTGTATGTACTATACCCAACAGTTGAGATGATGAGGATCTAAGGCAGCCCTCCATAAGGTATGGCTTTCCAGATGTTTTTAAGTAGTATGGGGTCAACATTTTAAAAAATATCTGTGGGACCGGCCGAGTGGCTCAGCTGGCTAAGAGCTCGCTCAAGAGTGCGAGCTCTGAGCAACAGCGGTTCGATGCCCGGCCCGAGCTGAGCTGCTGCTGAGCTGCCAACAGGTGGCAGGATGGCTCAGCTAAAAAAAAAAATGCTGTGGATTTATTATAGTTGCTTTCTATGTGAGGCAAGTCCTACTTGTTTTTCATTTATAAATATAGATAATTCTAGATTTAAAGGTTTTAAATCAAATTTGCTTAAGGTTATTTGTTTGTTTGTTTGTTTTGTTTGTATTTTTTTAAATGGTGAGTCAGTATAAAGACAGTTAGCCTGAATGCTTTCTCCCTTGCAGATTTGAGCTTTGTTTGAATATCAGGATTTTATATTTTCCCTACCACAGAGAAAGATGAATTCAGTCATGGCCTGAGATGCAACCCTCACAAATAGATGGAATTGCCAACAAAAGGTTTCTCCAACAAGTGAGCCTTGGGGTTCACCCTTAGTTGTAGGACTTAAATCTGTCTTCCGTCTTGCTTTTCAGCTTCCTTTCTCTCAGCTCGTTTGGTGAGAGAAAGGGCAACCCTCTCATAATTGAGAGCTAATGGCCATAAATCAGAAATTATGGATTAAGCAGATGCATAATTAAGATGAAATGCACACCACTTCTGTGATAACAGAAGAACCAATGTGATAAGATAAAAAGAAAACTCACAGACTAATGGGGCAAGCCCCGACAACCCCCTTTGCTGACTTGAAACGCATTCACGCGGAAACGGGGCTTTCTTTACAAAAAGAAGAGGTGGAAGTTCACGCTAACCTTTTGGGCACATTCTGTGAATGACAAATGTCTGGTGCAGAGCTGCTGCAGATGATCTTAGGCTGAAAGATTTGATGTCGAAAATATCACAGAGAGGCTCCGAGGACGGGGTGCATCTGGGGAGTTAATTAAAGCAAGATTATCTGGTTACTGCTCTTAATTAAAAACTGCTCTTTTCTGCTGTATGGCGAAAGATCCATGTCCTCTGTGAACCCCAAATGATGAGGACTTTTTTCTCTCCTGATAGCTAAACACTTTTGTTTTTCCCCCGTCAGCTAGTGAATGAGGCAGCAGAAGCAGAACCGGAGGCAGCCAGAGCAGACTATGAATGCTCGTTAACCTAATAGCCGAGTTTCATCCTTGTAATTGTATTAGGGCGCATGATAAGGTCCTCAGCCCTTGAATTGCACCCTAAGTTGTTTGGCACCCATTCGAGTGGTTGATGGGAGGCAGCAGCGGTTTTAGTACGTGGAATGAAGTCAGAGCACCTGGATTCCAACCCTATATCTGTTTGCTCCCGCACACCTGTGAGGTTTGGGGCAAGTTGCTTAACTTCTCTGTTCATGCTTCCTCGTGCGTCAATCAGAGCTGTTGTCAGGGTTAATGAGATGGTGCAGAAGCTGTTCTTCCCTTAGAGCCTGGCATCTCGACAAAGCTCAAGAACATGAGCTGCGTTATTAGTGTCAGTATGTATTTGATGCCCAGAGGAACCCGAGACAGACATCGCTACCTCCATGTTACCGAACAGGAATCTGAGGCCCAGGGAGGGGAGAACAATGGATTCAGACACAGGCAGCCTTCCCCCAGCTTCCGTAGCTGCGCCTTGGGCAGAGTTGGTCTTCAGCATCCCCAGGCAGCCCTCTCCAGAGCCTCTCCCCCCTTCCTCTGTCCTCTCCCCTTCCAAATCCTGTGTCCAACTGCAGTTCAGAGCCGAAGTGCCTGCACCAAGGACAATGATGGGGCAGGAGGCAAGAAGGGACCGTAAGCTCCTTGTCTGTTTTCCTTATGTCAGTGGCCCTAGGGCTGGCACATAGTTGGTGCTCAGTAAATGTTTGTTGAGTGAATAACTGAATGTAACATCAAGGCTGGAGCAGAGATATTAACCTACTTGGTCACGGCTCAGCGGTGACTGTGACTCAGAGAGGGTTGGTAATTTGCTCAACATCCCACAGCAGGTATGTGGAAGAGCCAGGATTTGAACTCAGGTTTGAAGCCTCCAAAGCCTGCATTTGTCTTTGCCATACTGCCATGGCTCTCTGATATTTATCCAGAGGGTAGAGCACTCACCTGGCAAAATTTACTGGCAAAGAATTGGCTTTTTATTAATAGTAAAACTGCGTAAGGATTATTATTCAATCTTCAACATCCATCCAAAAAATATTCATTAAGTGCCTGCTGAGTGCCAGATCCCATGGCAGTAAGCCTTGAAAAATTTGAGCCCTGTCCTTGGAGAATGTTTGCAATTTAAAGATTCTAGAATTTCTGAGTTAGAAGGAACCACTGGGACTATCTAGTCCAATTTGCTCGCTATGCAGGTGGAGAAAACTAGATCGGCAATGGGAAATTTTGCAGCCAGGTTGATAGTACGGACTGACCTCGAGTTAAGGTGCCTTGACTTCTGGCTTTTTCTAATAGCATAGGTAATCTATGAATACTTCCCCCTTTCAAGAACTTAAAATATAACTGACAAGGTTAAAATTCCTCTTGGCCACTGCCCCAATCTCAGCCCCCCATCTTTAGTTTGGCATGTATTCTTCCACATCTTTCTCTATGTATTTATAAACATATATGTTCTTATAGAAAATACATAGCATATTTGTGGGCTTTTCAAAAACATCAGTGATATGATGCTATAGGACGTATATTACGCTATATAGAAATTCTTACAGTGTGCTTCTTTGACTCAACAGTATATCTCAGCAATCTTTCCTTATCAGTACACCCAAGTCTATCTTGTCCTTTTAAATTCCTGCAAAAGATCTTAAAGTTATGCTTTATTTAACTATAATCTTCTGTTTCACTTTTAGTTGCTTTTGGGTGTTTGTTATTAACCTGCAAAAAACACACACCGTTATGTACATGGGCAAATGGTTCTCTGGGTCAAAGGGCGCTTGCATTTTGAACTTGACTAGATACTAGCACATCATCCCAGTGTCTCTTCTGCTAGGAGACTGTAGAGTAGAAGACTGAGCCTCCCGTGTGCTCATCCCCGTATTACCGGGCACATCATAGAGCTCAATAAACAAGTCTCTCGGACATTTCCAATTTGACTAAGAAGGTCACCCTAAAAACAGAAGCGAGGGCGAGAGCAGTCTTCTGCCAAAAAAAAATAAAAGCATTCCCTGTATTATTTATAAGGCGACGTCAACGCAAGAGAAATACACCTGAAGCTCTATGATTTACAACCCAGGAGGCATGCAGCTGCTGCTGATAAATACAAGAGCTTCTGGAAACGGATACATTATATTACTTTTGTGGCCCCCGGAACGGGGTTTATGGGCTCGGTGGTAGCAGCCATACCTGGCTCAGGAATGCATATTAACATCTGGCTGCAGGTGGTGCAGGGCTGTTTAGGGGCTGGCACCTGACCTCGGCCCCTGCTGTGTACCTGGCTTCTCCTTCCTGCCCTCTAGGGCCATTGCCCTGTTAAGGGGCCCTCTGCACTTCCTTCTTGTCCTAACAGCACATCAGGCTTTCCCAGAAGGGTCCAAGCCCCATTTCATGCTAGACCCCCATCCCCACGCCCAATAGAATCCCAGCTTCGGTCATTTGCACAGTTCTGCAGCGTCTGTGTGCTGACAGGCGCTGGTTGACCTAACTGTACAGACTCCTAATGTTTTATCTTGTCACTGGTCAGTTGCTTCTCTTATTTTCCTCAACGGTTATTCCAATCCATCCTGACTTTCCTCTGGCCGCTACCTCTCACTCCAAGGAGACAACCTAAACCCCTCTTTCATTCAAAGAGAAAGAAAATGGCCTCGACTTCTGTGGTGTCTATAAATTCATCTGTCTGTCCCCATCTTCCTTCTGCCCTCAGAAGACGAGATCCAATCCTGTCCAAGACTAATTCGTGTCCACTCCCTCCTGTCCCCTACAGCGCTCTGATGCTCCCTGTGTCCCCTCTCTCTCCAGTATCTTCAACTTCTCCCATTCTAGCTGGTCTTCCTCCTCAGGTCATAAATGCCTTCAGGCCTTCCCCATCCTAATGATATGAGGCCAGATAATTAAGTTTACTCAATCCTAGAAGTGCTACATGCCTCATTGCTGAATATCACTACAGTCACCTTTGAAGTACTCCACTTGGGAAGCTATACACCGACGCCAGTGCCTAGTCCACCCTTCAAAGCAATTTTGGAACTCTTTTTCTGGAATGGTCATCAGAGCTATCGTCATATTACGCTTGATGTCCTGAATGTCATCAAAATGTCTTCCTTTCAATATTTCCTTTATCTTTGGGTAAAGAAAGAAGTCTTTGGGGGTCAGATCAGGTGAGTAGGGAGGGTGTTTCAATACAGTGATTTGTTTACTGGCTAAAAATTCCCTCACAGACAGTGTCGTGTGAGCTGGTGCATTGTTGTGATGCAAGAGCCGTGAATTTTTGGCAAAAAGCTCAGGTCGTTTTTGTCTAACTTTTTCATGCAGCCTCTTCAGCACTTCCAGATAACAAACTTGGTTAACTGTTTGTCCAGATGGTACAAATTCATAATGAATAATCCCTCTGATATCAAGAAAGGTTAGCGCCATCATTGCAACAAGTTCGCGTACTTAATTGTGAGACTTCATATCCTCTCTCATCACCCTGTAATCCTGTTGAGTTATTCCTTTTACTTCCCTTCAGAGCCAAGCTTCTCCAAAGT